TCGATGCTCGGTAGAGCCGCTTCAGCAGCTGCACCACCGAGCGGCAGTCCTGGTGCGTCCCCTCCTCGGCGAGTGCGACGGCGCGGCGCTGGAGGTGCTCCACCCGCTCGAGGGGGGGCGGGTGCGTGTCGGTCCACGAGGCGCGCGTGTGGCCCTCGCCTCGCCAACCTTGGCCATCATCGAGCTCGCGGCGCGGATGTCGAAGCAGCCCGCGTGCAGGATGCCGATGCCGCAGTCGTCCGCCTGCGCCTCGGAGACGCGCGAGTACTCCTTGACGTAGGCGGCCTGTGGGGTCAGGGTGAGGGTGAGGGTGAGGGTTGGGGTCGGGGTTGGGGTTAGTACTCCTTGGCCGTAGGCGGCCTCGAGCCACTGCCCGAAGGTGGCGGTGAGGACGAACTCGAGCACGCCCGTCGGGTCGATGAGCGAGAGCACCACCAGCTGCGCGGTCGCGGCGATGGCGGTGTGCCTAGAGTGCACAGGCTCGGGGCTGAGGCTGCGAGGGTGGGGTCGGTGCGTGGCAGCTCTCTTGCGTCTCGCGGGGAGGGTAGAGGCTACGAACACGGGTGGAGCGGCGTTGCGCGGCGTGTCTCCTCACGGGGTGCTGGCTGCGGGGTGTCTCTTCCGCATCTGAGGGTGGCGTGCTCGAGCTGCCGCTCGCCGTGCGCAAAGACGACGTGCGAGAGCTCGTGCGCTATCAAGAAGGCGAGCTCGTCCTCGGTCGGCGTGAGTGCGTGCAGCAGCCCCTCGTGCACAAAGACGTGCCGCGGGCAGTACGGCGACACAAACGCGTTGATCCCCTCCGAGTTGGTCACCAGCCACGTCCACTCGCCCGCGATCCGCTCGGCGCCCGCGCGCAGGTCGCGCAGGTGGTCGCGCAGGTCTCCGAGGTACTCGCCGCGCGCCTTGGCCGCCTCGAGCTCCGCCTCGAGCCGCGCCGTCTCGTGCGCGACCCACGCGCGCGTCGCCGCCAGCACCCGCTCGCCGACCGCCTTGACGTGCACCTGCAGCGGCGAGTCGGCGCCGTGCGCCTCTGGCTTGGCGCCGCGGCTCGAGACGTGCTGCGACTCGAGGATCGCCTTGACGAGCGTCTTGACCATCCCGTCCGGGTCCTGCAGCGCCTCGGTGTGCCCGGCCGCCTTGCCCGTCTGGTACAGCGTGAAGCCGAGCACCGCCACGCGGAACACGCGAACAGGACGTCGGAGGTACCACGGCGCCTCGGGGACGATGCTGCGCGCCGCCGACGCGGCGCCGCTCGTGCTGCTCAGCAAACGGCGGCAGGCGCGGAGGCGGACGCCGCGAAGCAAAGCGCGAAGCGGCAGCGTGTGCGCGCAGGCCAGCATGGCCGGCTATGGTGGCGCACCTGTCGTTCGTTCCCGTCTCTCAAAGCTGCTTACACCGTCGATGCGCACATCGAGGCGCTCGCGGACGAGAGAGACGTCGCCTCCTCTTTCGTCCCGGGGCACTGTTCACGCCGGAAGGCGACTGACTGTCGGTCACTGAGCAATGAGCAATCGCATCGGCGGTTTCACTCACGCTCACAATCGGGTTACATCCAGGTCTCTGTGCGGGATGTGCTTGGGGGCTGCCCCCCAGTCGATTGCCGCATAGTTCGTCGATGTAACCCTACCAGAAAGCTGTATTCACACCTACCCTTCCAAAAAAAGAAATGTCCCTGCTTTTGTCGAAGATCCGGCGGGTTTATCGGAGCGCATCACCCGGCTTTTCTTCTCCTGGAGGACTCTAGGAGCCCGAACCCGGAGGCGATGCATGGTTTGCCATATTCTCACACAGAACAAAACGCAAACGGAGAATCTGGATAGATATGGAGACTCTCTCAAGACAGATGGGGTGCGCCGGAGGCGGAGCGCCACACACCACCCGGGGCCGGCTCCACGGTCGCCCTCCCAAAGCAAGCGAGACGCAAGTCGCAAGAGAAGCGGCGGAGACGCCGAGCTCATGGCGATGCCACCGCCACGCACCCTCGGTCGTCGGGAGGAGGGGAGCCCGAGCAGCAGTGTGTACTGAGCAGTGTGTACACCACGCGCGTCTCTAGTAGCCGAACTTGGCGAGCTTGGCGTCGAACTGATCGGCGACGGCCGCCTTGGCCGCCTTGGCCTTGCCAAGCTGCGCCTGCGGGAGGGCGGGAGGGTTGGGAGAGTTGGGAGTGCCAACCCCTAGCCCAAAGCGAGGACGGAGGATGGAGGCCTCCCCCCAAAAGCGAGGCGGAGGACAGCAGTGCCCCCCCCCCCCCCTCCCCTCCGAAGGGGGGGGGGGCGGAAGAGGGGGCGGGAAGAGAGGGGGCGGGAGGGTTCTGCGCGCCTTCTTCTCCTCCCAGTACACTGCCGACCGCTCCTTCCTCTTGGCCTCGAGGCGCTCGACCGCCTCCTTGTGCTTCCACCCAATCTCGAGCGAGATGCGCCCCAGCACGCAGTAGCGCCGGCCCGGCTTTAGCCGGGTCACGCGGAAGGCGTCAGGCACGACCATGCGCTTCGACTTTTCGTACTGCTCCGGGATGCCGTCGAACGCCTTGAGGCGCTCCATCGCGCACTTGCCGCGGTGCGTCTTGTGCGGGATCATCCCGCGAATCACGCGGTGAAAGATCCGGCTCGGCGCGCGGAAGTGGTAAGGCCCGTGCGCCGGGTTGGTGTTGGTGCGCTTGCGCAGTTTGTCGAGGAACTTGAGCTTGTTGCGGTAGAAGGAGCCGGAGATGTTGATGTCCTCGCAGCGCACGCACACGACGCGCTGGCCGTTCAGCAGCTCCTTGGCGACGATCGACGCCAGCCGGCCGAGCAGATGGTTCTTGCAGTCGATCACGACCACCTTCTCAAACATCGTGCAGCCGCCGCCTGGGCGGGGCGGGGACGCACGCGGTGAAGGGACGGCGGCGTCGGGGTCGGCGGCCTCGGCGGTGCGGCGCGGCGGCGCAGCGAGGGGAGAGGGCGTGCTGCACGCACTCTGGGGAAAGACCACGCTCCTCGCGCGTTATTCTTTTCCTTTTCTTTGCGGGAGACCTTGACAACGTAGCGCCGCGTAGGGTCCTTGCCGGGTGCGTCGTAGACGCACTTGTAGCGGGTCCCGTTGTCGGACGGGATGAGTTTGACGGAGGCGGGCTGTGCCTTCTGGATGAGCATCGCTTGTCACGCGTGTAGCAGTTCCCGCCCTCGCCTTGCCACAAAATCTCCCGTATCTCCCCTCACGGATGTGTGTGTGTGTGTGTGTGTGTGTGTCGACACACACACTCACACCCTCACGGATGTAGCAGTTCCCGCTCAAAGCACAGGGGACCTTCATTTCTTTTATTAAATGAACTCGGGGGCACGGGACGCGGCACAAACGGGGCACAAACGCCAGGCTACAAAGACGGGGAGGCACGTAGTGACGCAGGGGGGTCTAGGCGACGGCGGCGTCCTCCGACGACGACGCCTTCATTTCTTGTGTGGGTCTTTCTTGGCTTCGCCTGCGCCGCGATGAGCATCTTCGCCTCCGCCTTCTCGCCGGAAGGCACTCACCTCCTCGCTGCCACCGGCGACGGCGACCTGCACATCTGGCGCCTCGCCGCCGGTGCGCCGGAGCGGGCGCCGCCACCAGCGGCGACGCACCGTCTGCACAGCTGCGCCATCTACAGCCTCACTTTCGTGCCGACGGCGCGCGGGCTCCTTCTGCTCAGCGGATCCGACGAGGACGTCCGCGGCTGGCGCTGGGAGGAGCTTCTTGGCGGCGCGACGCCCCGCCCGCTCCTGACGCTGCAGAACCCGCGCCTCTCGCTGCGGCGCGGCGGCCTCGGCCCGCTCTCCGAGACGACGGCGCTGGCGCACGACGCGGCGAGTGGCGCCGTCTACTCCGCCGCGGGCGACGGCAACGCCTACGCCTGGGACCTCGAGGCGGAGCGCGTCGTCGCGACCTTCAGCGGTCATGAAAACATGCTGCACGGGATCGGCCTGCGGACAGAGCGGCGGCAGCTGGTCTGCAGCCCGCCCGCCCCGCCCCTCCCGCCCCTCCCGCCCCGCCCCTCCCGCCCCTCCCGCCCTCCCCGCCCTCCCCGCCCCTCTCCCCTCCGCCCGCACGGCGCGGTGCCCTCTCCTCGCCTTCTCAGGTCACGGGCTCCGAGGACGGGACTTGTCGCCTGTGGGACTTGCGCTCCGCAGCGTGCACGGCGACGCTGCTGGCCGGAGGAGCGGCGCAGGCGGTGGGCGGCGGGGGCAAGGGAGGAGGACGGGTCGGAACTTTACTCGA